GATATCCCAAGCTGGAAGGGACCCATGAGGGTCACTGACTCAAACTCCTCACCCTGTGCACAGGACAATCCCAAAAATCCCATCATGGGCCTGAGAGTGTGGTCCAAACACTCCTGGAGCTCCTTCAGGCTTGGGATCACTGCCCTTGGGAGATGTCCCAGTGCCCAAACACCTCTGGGGGAAAAACCTTCTCCTGATCTCCAACCCAACCCTGTCCCCACCAGCTCCATGCCACTCCCAAATCCAAGGGATTTACCTGGCTGTCTCCTTCCACTCAGCATCTTCTCCCTCTTTGACACAGATCTCATCCAGCTCCGTGAACAAGTCATGAGGGACATGTTGCTCATCCTCCTCCGTCCCCAGGATGAACTGGACCCTCTGGGATGGAGTGTCTGGAATGAAGAGGCAAAACCTCATCCCAATACAGAGCCTGGGTAAGTCTCCTCACGCTCCCATTCCAACTGGGACCAGTTCAGCTATGAATACTAGGCTGGTTCCTCTCCCCTGGATCCATCAGTGAAGCTATGGAGAAGGTGGAACATCCATCCCATCATCCATAAGGGTGAGCTGCTTCCCCTCCCTGCAACCCAAGGTCCTTCAATCCATTTGGAGCAACATTGAACTCTAAACCCAGGTGAAAAACTTGGGAAAACACCATTTTTCCTTGGAAAACCACCCAAGTGTGGCCATGGATATGCTGAGGGATGACCCCAGTGGCCTCCTGGCCACCGTGGCAGGACTTACAGTGGAATCCTTGCTCTGTGGGGATGGAATCCTTCTCCCGCTCCCGTTTCCGATGCTTCTGGCTGTGAGGTCGGTGGTGCCGATGGCTCTGGCGAACCAGAGGCATCCGAACGCCCACATACAGCGTCCGGTGGCCTGGGAAACAGGGAGTTTTGGGAAGGGGGAGAGGCAGGAAACACAGTCAGGTCAGTGCAGGTATCCTGGAGGAAACTATAGGATTGTGGGATTGGTGGAGCCATCCTGGAGGAAACTATGGAATCAATGGATCCGTCCTGCTCCAGTATCTTCATGTCCCTCTGGCCCTGTGATCCCAGACCTGGACCTGCTCCAGGATCTCCATGTCCCTCTCATCCCAAGAAGACCAGAACTTGATTTAAACTGGAAAAAACTCACATGGAATCTGCTATAAACCCCCCAGAATTCCTGGTTGGACCTAAGATCATCTCCCACCACTGGTGACAAGCACATGGAGCTGCTGGGAGCAAACAGGATAGGGATTATCCAACCCCTCTGGGACCTCCATGGAGGTTTTCCCCCTTGGTTGAAAAGGCTCAATAATTAATGACATGCAAATGAAGAAGTTGCTTAATTAGGAGACACAACAGGTGACGTGACACCGAGTGAAGGACGTTGGGTTTGCCATGGGTTGGTGGTTGCTCCACCAGGATCTCACCTTCCAGCTCCTCCTTCTCATAGTGGATGTTGACCACATTGCTGGTCCTGCCTTGGTCCACCACAGCCTCTTCATCATGTCTCTAGCAAGGAGAAGACAGGAGAAGTTTGGGATGGGTGTGGAGAACTTCCTCCATCCTCCCACTCCTCATCGTGTCACCTCCAGCCTTGAAAACAGAGAGGAGAAAAAAAGTCATCTACCATGATTGAAGCTGGAAAAACTAACATGGAATCTGCTTTTCATGGTCCTGCCTTGGTCCACCACAGCCTCTTCATCATGTCTCTAGCAAGGAGAAGACAGGAGAAGTTTGGGATGGGTGTGGAGAACTTCCTCCATCCTCCCACTCCTCATCGTGTCACCTCCAGCCTTGAAAACAGAGAGGAGAAAAAAAGTCATCTACCATGATTGAAGCTGGAAAAACTAACATGGAATCTGCTTTTCATTTACCACCGGCTGGAAAGGGTGTGGGCTCTGCTCAAGGGTGGATTTGATGAGGAAGAGGAACAAATATTCCTGGTGGGAATGAGTTGCTGGGCTCAAAGTCGACTCGTTGCTTCCTCCTCAGCTCCAGGGAGTCTCCCTGAATTGGTTACCTGGCAGCAGGATTATCTGCACCGGTGGCTTTTCCAACCCTCCTTCCCTTCCCAGCACTCTGCTTCCCTCTGGATTTGCCCAGAGGAACTCCAACCTCCCTGGACTTGGCACTGAGGAGGTCACAGTTCAGTGCTGGGCTCAGCTTTGGGTCTAACCACAGGAAGGACATGGAGGCACCGAAGAGTGTCCTGAGAAGGACAAAGAGGCTCAGAAAAGGTCAAGGAAATATGTCCAATGAAGCTCATCAAAGGTCTAGGACACAAGACCAAAGAGGCTCATCAAAGGTCTAGAGCACATGAGGAAAGTTGAGTTTGTTGAGCCTTGAGAAGAGACTCAGGGGTGACCTCCTGGCTCTCCACAACTCCTGAGAGGGTTGGAGAGAGGTGGGGGATGCCTCTCCTGCCATGGCTGCAGGGAGAGGACTAGAGGGAATGGCCTTGAGCTGAGACAGGGCAGAGTCAGATGAGATGTTAGGAAAATGTTTTCCCTGTTAGAGTGTTCAGGCACTGGAATAGGTTGCCCAGGGAGGTGGTGGAATCACCATCCCTGGGGTTGGACTCGATGACCTTAGAGGTCTCTTCTCTGGTTTTGAGGGATCATTGAGCTTCCAGATGGATCAGGAGGTCACATTCCCACTAGGACAACGTGGCACCTTGTAATTCCCAACTCCAGAGGCACAACCAGTGATGGAATTGGAATCTGAGGTGCCAAGACAGAAATTATTTCCAGCCACACACTCTGCCTGCTTGGAAAACATGATGAATGGGGAGGAAAATCAGCTCTGTTTTAAGGGAAAACTCTGGAATGAGGTTTAAACATCACATCCCACCGGGATGGAAAGGAACAATCAGCGTTTGAATGGATCCAAAGTCAAAATCCAAGTGAGGCATAAAGTGTTGGGGAAAGAAACATCCAAATCTCCTGCCTGCAGGAAGGCAGGGAATTCCAGGAAGGTCTCACTTGGGCCTTATCCCATCCCTTGAGTGCTCCAATAAATCCTCAATAAATGCTGGAAACCTCCAGACAAACCACATTGTTCCTCTCTCCTGCCCAGCCCAGCCCTGCTTCATTTCCCAGGCTGAGCTCATCCACCAAATCCAAATCCGTTTGGTCCAATGAATTTCCTCCCTGGAGCTGCTGAGGTCACCTGGCTGGAAATGTGACCTGGGATGTAAACCGAGATGGAAGGGGAAGGTGACACCGATGGCTGAGCACGTAAATCCCACCAGGAGCTAAGCTCAGAGCTCCTCTGCTGTTCTCTGACCTCATGCCAAAGCTTCTGGAGTTTTGGGAAGGGGCAGATCCCTGGGGATTCACATCCCCTCCACGCTCCCTGCACGCAGCTGGAGATGCCTCCAAAGGAAACATTCCCACTCCAAACTCTCCCAGTCCCAGTCAGGCCACTCAGAGGGACTGAGAGTTTGTTTCAGTCCCAGTCCATGGCATGGGGAACTGGGAACTGGGACTCTCCTGGGGCAGGACTGGCACTGGAATTGAGACAGTTCTGGGGCAGGATTGGGATTGTCCTGGGCCAGGATTGGGACTGTCCTAAGATAGGACACCTTTTCACTGCTCCAGCACCCTCTTTCCCCCCC